GTAGCACGGAGAGTGTCGTGCCACTCACGGGAGCCTGGCGCAGGCCGTAGACGGGGCGCCGCAGGAGCCACTGGGTCCCAGGAGGGAAGGTGCCAGTGAAGCCCTGAGGGCGCCGCAGGTAGACCTGCTCGTGTAGGCTGCCCTGAAGGAAGGCAGTGGAGAAGTCGAGGGAGTGAAGCTCGTAGTCACGCTGAGCAGCTAGGTGTAACAGAACCCGAAGAGTAGTCATCTTCGGGGTCGGAGCGAAGGTCTGGAAGAAGTCCACCCCCTCGCGCTGACTGAAGCCTCTAGCCACATAGCGCGCCTTGAAGACAGGCGGCTCTCCAGGAGGGCGCTTCACCTTGAAGAGCCAGCGGCCATCGACTACGTTCACCCCAGGTGGGGGAACTGCGTCGACGAAGGTGCCGGTGGATCTCCAAGATGCCATCTCCTGCTCCATGGCAGCTATCCACTGCGAGGCCCAGGGTCCCGAAGTCGCCTCAGCGTAAGTGCGAGGGGTCGGGATGTCGAAAGCATCTGGGTCACCCTCAGGGACTAGCAGCATGGAACAGAGATGGGGAGCAGCCTCGGAGAGGAAAGCAAAGCTCGAACTGGCGGTCCTCCAGGACGCCACTGCCAAGGCAGGAGCACCCCCGACAGACGGAGGACAGGCAGGGTCAGAGACCAGAGCGGAGGCGTAGTCAAGGCGACGGGTAGAGGCGAAGTCAGCGACAGCAGCGACAAGAGCGTCAAGGCACAAGGTCGGAACAGACGGGTCGGTAACGAGAGAGGCAAGGACCCGAGGAACAAGGGGACGAGCGGCACGAAGGTAGTCAGACAGCGGGGGGGGTGCAACAACAAGGGAGGACGGAGGAGGCGACGGCAAAGCCGACCCTCAACACAAGGCGAGCAGTGAGCAGTGAGCAGGGAAGGGGTGCGGGCAGTGAGCTTGTCTGTGCCGGAGGCACGGACGTGAGCAAGGCAGCCCCAGACGTGGAACGCAGACGCGTCACCAGGAGACCCAGTCCAAAGACGAGTCGGCGAAACCTGCGGCTGCTGAGGGTGCGGCCACAAGTTAAGCTGGTGAGAAGCGTAGTGCACAGCGAACGGCCACAGAAAATGGGGTGCACCAGCATGGATCATGGAGGTGCGAGCCACCTCCATGACCAAACCGATGCGTCGCTCAGCGACCCCATTCTGCTGTGGGGAGTCCGGTAGGGTGAACGTCTGGGTGATGCCCTCCGCACGACAAAAGCGACCAAGGACACCTGAGGCAAACTCGCCACCACGGTCGGAGTGAAGACGCAAGACAGGGAGACCGCGGTGGACACGCGCAGAGACAAGCCAGGGAATGAGAGCGCCAGGCACGTCGGCCTTGCGCTCCAGGGGAAAGACTGTGGTGTAACGAGTGAAGTTGTCGACAAGCACAAGGAAGTAGCGCTCTCGACGCGGCCCAGGGACGGGGGCGGGGCCCCAGACGTCCAGGTGCAGGGTCTGCAGCGGCGCGGCGGTAGGGGGAAACGAGGAGGAGTGCGGGGCACGGCGAAGCCGACCCTCAACACAAGGCGTGCAAGGTGGGGCTGGGGAGGAGGGAAACGCGGGGAGGGAACTGGGAGACCAAGGACAAGACGTGCTGGGACATGTGACGCAGACGCGGGAGCGCAGGGTGACCTAGGCGGTGGTGCCAAAGGAGAGTCGGGTGAGTGAGGGACCGACAGGAGCAGGCAGCAGCAACCTGGGTAGACGCAGCCACCTGAGGAGGCGCCCCAGCCGGGGGGGTCACGGTGTCCAGAGTGAACAGGCCGGACAACGGGTCCCGGGGGAACGTAGAAAGGGGGGCACCAGTGGCGGCCTCGGTACAGACAGCATACCGCTCGTGACCAGGAACGTAGTGGTGACGCCAAGGTCCTGGAGGCAGCCGACACCAACTAGGTTCCTGGAGAACGAGGGGATATGCAGACCTGTGAGAGAGCCCGAAGGAACCGCCGGACAGGGAAGGGTGGTGGAACTGCGGGCGACGACCGGACCGCCGGAGGGGTCAGCAAAGAAGAAACGGCAGCTGGGACAGGAAGCGGCGTCAGGGTGGTAGAGTCGCGGAAGAAACACCGAGAAGCGCCAGAGTCCAAGGTGAAGGAAAGCGAAGCAGAGGCGTCTGGCAACGGAACGACGGCGGAAGCACCAAGACTATACAAAGCAGGGGATCCTACGCCTGACGCAGCAGGGGAGGCTAAGCTAGGCACACCTACACTAGGCAACAGTGAGTAATAAGCGGGAACCACACTAGAGTCATCAGCATACATCACATGCAGAGCAGCAACAATGGCATCCATGTCCATTTCAAAAATCTGAATCTTACGACTAAGCAAACTGTGCCAGTCCGGGAGGTCTGGCGACGGGCCGAAGCGCTGACGAAAGAGATCGTCGAGGCGACGAAAACAGCGGGGAGTGGAGTGACCGAGCCTACCGCAAATGAAACCGCGGCGAGGACCGGTCTGGATCTGGTACTGACAACGCCCGCCACCAGAGCCACCACTCGGCACACCACCACGCGCCCGCCACCGCCAGCGCCGGGCCACCCGGGCGGGAGGACACTCGTCTGCCGCGTCTGCGACGGCTGCTGCGGCTGCTGCGAAGGCTGCGACTGCGGCGGTTGCTGCGGCTGCTGCAACTGCAGGGGCGGCGGCTCAGCTGGACTGGGCAGGTTCCCCTCGTCCGCTCCAGCACCAGACGACCCGACCCCACCACTACCCCCTCCCGCACCCCCGCCGCCGCCGCCGTCGCGCCCAACCTTGGGGCGGCGGCCCTTCCCCGAACGAAACTGCGCTGCAGCATCAGTCTCAGCCACTGCGGCAGAGCCGTCGGAGAAGGTACACTGGGCGGGGGCACAACCCTGAAAGATAGGGACCGGCACGACACCGCTCGCCTGGGCGATGGAGCGGTGACGGGTCTCTATCACAGTCAGGGTGTCTACAAAGTCAGTGAGGATGAGGTCTGCAGGGTGAATGCTAAGGAAGCGGTCGCGGGCGACAGCAAGGTGGTCAGGGAGGCGGGTGGCAAGCAGGTAGAGGGTAGAGGTAATGGGCGGCTGGTGGGCTCTAAGCTGTGCATCAGTGCAGGCTGCACGCCCGGTCTCATCTATCGAGCGCAGGTGGGCAGCGAGGTCAGAGACAGTGGGGAAAGATGCAAGGTCAGGAAAGAGCATCGGGAGGATCAGGCGACCCACCGAGGCAGCCGGAGGGGTGGAATAGCGCTGGATGACAGCATCTAAGTATGCCTGAGCAGTGGTGAGAGACCTAAAGCGAGGGCGCTCGGACGGGGGAAGGGCGTTGCTGATGGCAAGCTGGGCGACAGCATCGCGAGAAAGCCAGACAGAGCGCGCACGGGCAGTGGCAGCAGTGGACTCGCGCTCAGTGGGTGTGGAGTCAGCGGGCAGAATAGCAAGGGGGCCTGGGCAGGGAGCGTACCGTCAAGGTGTGCGGAGAGCGGTTCACCATCCTGCCGCTTGCCAGTGAGTTGGCGACGGAGGTCGGCAAGCCACGCCTCGAACTCGAGAGGCTGGCCTTCAGCGTCGAAGCGAAGCTCCGCCGCCATCAGGAACAGTGCAGTGCGGTGCAGGGCAGTGCAGCAAGGTGGAGTGCGGTGCCGTGCGGTACAGTGCGATGCAGTGCGGTGCAGTGCGGTGTAGGGCGGTGCAGTGCGGTGCCAGGCAGTACAGGGTGGTGCGGGGCGGTGCAGTGCGGGGCAGTACGGTGCAGGGCAGTGCAGGGCGGGGGGGGGGGGGGGGGGGAACCGTACCAGTGAGGAGGACCGGGGCCGGGGCAGGGACGAGCGCAGGGGCCGGGCCGGTGCAACGGGGCCGGGCGGGCGCGACGGGGCCGGGCGGGCGCGACGGGGCCGGGCTGGTGCGACGGGGCCGGGCGGGTGCGTCGGGGCCGGGCTGGTGCGACGGTGCCGGGCCGGTGCGACGGGGCCGGGCGAGCAGGACGGTGGCCCAGGAGGGGCGCACCGGGGCTGGGCGGGCGCGACGGGGCCGGACGGGTGCGACGGGGCCGGGCGGCTGCAACGGGGCCGGGCAGGGGGCGACTGGGCCGGGCGAGTGCAACGGGGCCGGGCGGGCGTGACGGGGCCGGGCTGGTGCGACGGGGCCGGGCTGGTGCGACGGGGCCGGGCTGGGGCGACGGGGCCGGGCGAGCGCGACGGGGCCTGAAGGCGTGACGGGGCCCAGGAGGGGGGGGCTCGACGCGGCCCAGGAGGGGCGCTACGGGGCCCAGGAGGGGCACGACGGGGGCCCAAGAGGGGCGCTACAGGGGCCCAGGAGGGGCGCGACGGGGCCCAGGAGGGGCGCTACGAAGCCCAGGAGGGGCGCGACAAGGCCCAGGAGGGGCGCTACGGGGACTAGGAGGGGCGCGACGGGGCCTGGGAGGGGCGTGACGGGGCCCAGGAGGGGAGCTACAGGGCCCAGGGAGGGCGCGACGGGGCCCAGGAGGGGCGCTACGGGGCCCAGGAGGGGCGCGACGGGGCCCAGGAGGGTCGCTACGGAGCCCAGGAGGGGCGCGACGGGGCCTGGGAGGGGCGCGACGGGGCCCAGGAGGGGCGCTACAGGGCCCAGGAAGGGCGCGACGGGGCCCAGGAGGGGCGCTACGGGGCCCAGGAGGGGCGCGACGGGCCCAGGAGGGGCGCTACGGAGCCCAGGAGGGGCGCGACGAGGCCCAGGAGGGGCGCTACAGGGCCTAGGAGGGGCGCGACGTGGCCTGGGAGGGGCGCGACGGGGCCCAGTGAGGGGTGCGACGGGGCCCAGAAGGGGCGCTACAGGGCCCAGGATGGGGCGCGACGGGGCTAGGGGGGTCGCGACGGGGCTAGGGGCTAGAGGGGTGAGCGGAAGCGGTAGGTGGGGGGGGATCCTACCTACGCGTGATACCATATCAAAATTGAGAAGTGAATGATGGATAGAGTGAGAGTACACACAGATATACCTAAGTGTTGTACTCTCTTAGAGGCGATCCTATACAGTCTATACAAACATGACAAATACACATGTTTGACACCCTCTACTTGCGGAAGCCAAAGAGCAAGCCGAGCCAAGAGATGAGCTGCGAGAGGAAAGCCCCACTGGAACCCGAACCTGAACCACCACCCCGCTGCCAGTCATCACCGTCGCCATAATGATCGTCCCCCCCATGATGGTCATCACCGTCATGATCGTACCCCCCATCGTCCACGGACGACGGGGACATGGCACAAGAGAAGTCCACAGACATGCGACCACTGCGATGAAACAAGAGCGGGAGGGAGAGGCAGGAGGGAGAACAGAGGGTTGTGAGATGGAGGAGAGAAAGCAGGACAGGAATTACACAGAGATCTAGACAGTGTGAAAGAGTGAGTGGGGATATGATTGTGCAGAGGGAAGAGGAGGATAAAGCGCATTGACGAAACGAGTGAAGGAATAGGCAAGAGTTGAGAGGATGTTTCGGGAGAACTAGCGCAAGAGGAATACAGAGGGGACTTGACACTGGCGATCAGATCCAGCGTTGGACACTCACTCTGCACCGCTGTGGAACGCAAGGGTCTTGGAGTTGGAGTTGGAGTGAGCCCAGATGAGATGGCTGACGCCACTCATCTTGATGGGAATGGACCCCGTGCCAGTTGTGCGCGAGAACCTGGTTGACCAACAAGCAAGGAAAGTATGTGAGAAAACATGTCTAGACATAGAGGTGACCATGTCATATGCACAGCACAGAGCCCGATACTTACTGGATTACTGTGGTGGAGCCAGTAGCGGACTTCACAGTCCCCGCACCACTGCCAATGCTAAACGAGGCGCCCTGTAACGAATTCATAGTGTAGCCTGTGATTCGGTATGGGCTCACAATCCCGCCCGCCCTGTTGCCGATGACTGCGTCGGAGGGAGCCATGGAGCCCCCGTTGGCCCAGCCGAGCGCGAACCACCCGTTGCTGGCGCCGCTGCTGGTCTTGAGCTCGACAGCCATGTCCAACTGCGTGGCCGACACCTTCTTCCAATGCAGCAGCACGCTGAGGGAAGGGAGAAGGGGGAAGGGGGAAGAGGGAAGGGGAGAGGACGGACTCAGAACACGAGGAAGAGGCAAATCAAGGCAAAAGAAGACGCTAGCAGTCAGAGCGGCGAGCAATGTGAGCAGTGGTTGGGAGGGGGGGTTGGGGAGGCGTGGGTGACTAGACAAAGGGCTCTGCATCCGCGTACCCGGATTTGATTTGGGCCTGGTAGGAGTAGCCGCAGAGAGTGGACGCGGGACATGCAGTGCCGCTCACGCCCGTGTTGCCCGTGCACGTCCCTGCTCCAGTGCCCGAGCTTGTTCCCGTGCCTGTTCCCGAGCCAGTTCCCAAGCCGGTTCCCGAGCCTGAGCCCGAGGCTGTTCCGTCACAAGAGAAGTCAATGGTCTTTGCGCCTCTGGAGGCACGGAAATAGCGACAGAGCGGCGAAGGGGAGAGAGAGACAAGGTGAGTGAGGCGCTAAGAGGGGCCTGGAGCATTGCAACTCGAGGGACGGGGTTCAATTTGCGACGAGGGGGGGGGGGTGGGGGAGGGGGGGCGACAACGAGGCACCTGTGGCTGCCGCCGTGGTTGGCGACGGTCTTGGAGCCGCCAGACGAGAAGGCCCACACGAGCTTGTTGCTCCCCGCCACGTTCACCGCCACGGTCCCGTCGCCCGTCGATCGCGTGAACTTCGCGATCGTGCTCCCGCCCGACCTTGTAACACTCGCGGCGGTTATAGCGAACCGCGACGTGGTAACCACGCTCGAGTAGCTAGATATCGCGTACGTGCCGACGCTGGTCCCCGTCGCTATGTTCCCGATGACGGCGTCCGAGTTAAACATGCCCCCGTTGGTCCACGCCACGGAGAACCACCCGCTCGCCGCGCCGCTCGTTGACTTGGCTTCCAGGGCCAGGTCGATCGTTGACCCCGTTGACTTCTTCCAGTGGAGGACCAGCCTGGGGGAAATGGCGAAAAAGGGGCGACGTTTCGCAAGGGTAACTAGAGACGGATGAGCGCCAGGCGAAATGTATTAGAATAGAACTACTGAGTCACTTAGAGGACGACGTGCATTAGGGGGAGTGCGAAACGCGATGGAACACGACGGAATGTCGGAAAGATCTCCGAGATCTTCTCTATACTATCCTTTCCAATAAAGTTCTCACCCGTTGCCCGAGAGGTCCATGGAGCTCGTGTATCCTGCGAGCGTCGACGTTTGGCACGTGCTCGTCGCGGCAGGCGTCACCAGCGTCTTCGTTCCGGCTTTGGCGGCTGTAGCAGCGGCGCCGCCGGCTGTAGCACCAGCGGCGGCGCCAGTAGGCGGCTTGCGCGAGTGTTTCAGGCGCCACGCGTTGTGACGGTTGAGGAGGCCTTGGGACTTCTGCGGGAACGGCGACGGTGCGCCGCCGCTGGCGGCGCCCGCCGCGCCGCCGTCGAGCACCGTGGCGATAAAGAGGACCGCGACGCAGAGGCGCATGAGCCTCGTGCCGCGCGGCTCGCGCGCCTTGACGGCCATGGCGAGGGGAAAATGCGGGACTGAGGCGGGGTGGGATGAGCGGTGGGGTGGGTTGGAGTGCGGTGAGACGGGGTGGGATGAGCTACTAGCTCGGCTTGAATGGGCGACGGACGTGGGGAGGGAGGTGGAGCGAAAGCTGTGACTCCGAGTCAGAAGTTTTGGGAAGTCTGGGCACTCGGAGTGACACTGGCCTGCCTCCCAGGGAGAGTCGTAAATCTCGTGGAGGATCTGGTTTGTTCTGGTTTATGTAGGAGTGAGAGATTCACGGGTGGGAGAGGAGGAGGGTGAGCAGCAGGGACGGCTGGATATGAGGGAGGCGGAGATGATGGCGAGGAAGGGCCAGGGGGTTGAGTGGATGATTGGGTTGGGTTGGGTCGGGAACTTGGGAAATATAATGGCTGGAAATGTAATGGCTGAGAAAGCAGCGCCCCAATTGTGAGGAACAACGCAGCAATTCAAAATCGCCGTCGCCACCAGAAATTGCAATGCTTGGTTGCTTGCTTGCGCGTCCCGGCGACGCGCGATTTTTTGCCTCTTGGTGTTTGCTTGGGAAAGCTGGCTGGTTTGAAGATCGAGGTTCGGCGAAGTGGACAGGTTGTCTTGAGAGGGGGGAACACAAACCACCTGTCCACTTTCTATTGGCTCACGTTTTGGGCTTGTCACCGACAGGTGCGGCTCGGTTGTGGAATGCGCGTGGTTTGCGTTCGTCAAGCCATTACATTGGCTGGTCTGGTCTTGTGACCAGGGTGTTGACGAAACCCGGTTATTCCATCTTGGATTTCGTCGTCGAATGAAAACGACTTTTTTTATCTCGTTGAACAGGTGGGGAACAGAACCAGCATGTGCCTTACCGTAATTGCCATGCTGCTCCTTTGCCGCGCTGGCACTCTGGCTCGTGTATGGAAGTTCGGCGGTTGTCTTCTATTGCCGAGCCTGTTTTCCCAGGGTCTATGGACCACGAACATCAACATGAGCGTGCCAATTTGCCAAACAACCTTGCGCATGAAGCTTGAAAGAATTCCTCCGTACAGGCATCGCATAGAAAACAGCAACCCATTCATCCATGTCAAAATCAATTTATGTCGTATTCCACTTCCAAATGTATGTTTCCTTTCTTTTGGGTGGACATGGCATAACCTGCTACCGTATTATTGAGAACAGACCTGTGAACTCACCTGACAGTAGTACTACACCGTGACTGCAAATGGGGCACGGCTGCAACCAATGACTACCTACATGGTCTGTAACTTTGGTTTTTACATGTGCATCAACTGGCATCTTCCCTATGATTGCATATGAGCCCTTCATCTTGCCATCCTTCTACATTTTAACGGCCCTTTTACAAATAAAACTTATACATCACGGTTGGAAACCAGCAAACAGTGCAACTCATCTATGGCATACAGGGCAAGGCATCACAACCATCTTTTAGGCTGTGCTGTGCAGTGGAGCCTCTCGCACACACAACTCCAAAAGATGCCTGTGGTCCAGCCTGCTACTTACGTCTACACTACTAGACTCACACCTCCCCTTCTCAACCCTCCTGATAATCGCCACCACCACCAACTCATATCCACCATGCACAACTCCCAGTGAGCATTGTGTGGTGTGTGCTGCACTGTGCTGTGCAGCGTATGCCCTCTACTTGCGGAAGCCGAAGAGCGAGCCAAGCCAAGCGATGAGCTGCGAGAGGAAAGCCCCACCGCTACCTGAACCACCACCCTCCCCCCAGTCATCACCCCCCTCGCCATTATCATCGCCCCCGCCGCCGCCGGACGACGGGGCAGTGGCGCAGGAAAAGTCCACTGACATGCTACCACTGTGATGGAACAAGGGGGCGAGGGACAGGGGGAGGGGAGAGGGGGAGAGAAAGTAAGGGTGGTGAGATGATGGAGAGACACTGGGACACCAAGCCCACTGACATTCGGCAGCTGTGGAGGAGTGAGTGGGGGGTGAGGGAGGCGGGTGCGCTTCAGACAGGGGAGGAAGCTACTGGATGGAAGAGGACGCTGGAGAGCATTCACGAAGAGAGAGAGGGCGTCGGTAACTGCAGTAAGAAGGGTTTGAAGAGTTGAAGTCGGGATGCACAGAGGGGTCTTGACGTAAAAGTAAGGGTATTGGAGAGCCAGCGTTTGGGACACTCACTCAGCACCGCCGTGGAAAGCAAGGGTCTTGGAGTTGGAGTTGGAGTGAGCCCAGATGAGACGGCTGACGCCACTCATCTTGATGGGAATGGACCCCGTGCCAGTTGTGCGCGAGAACCTGATTGGCCACCAAGCAAAGGGGGGATAAGGCATTTCGTTAGTCTGGGTACGACGAATAAACGTGATGGCTGGATGTACAGGATGGCATGAATATAGAGGTGAAATATGTCATATGCTGAAGATATGTGGGAGGGAGGCACGGAAGCTCGCTGATTATACTTACTGGATCACTGTGGAGCCGGTGGCGGACGTCACAGTCCCCGCGCTGCTGCCAATGCTAAACGAGGCGCCCTGTAACGAGCTCATAGTGTAGCCTGTGATGCGGTACGGGCTGACAAGGCCGCCCGCCCTGTTGCCTATGACTGCGTCGGAGGGAGCCATGGAGCCCCCGTTGGCCCAGCCGAGCGCGAACCACCCGTTGCTGGCGCCGCTGCTGGTCTTGAGCTCGACTGCCATGTCCAGCTGCGTGGCCGACACCTTCTTCCAGTGCAGCAGCACGCTGAGGGAAGGGCGGTAGAGGGAAGGGGAGAGGACGGACTCAGAACACGAGGAAGCGGCAAATTTTAGAGGAAAAGACGATGCAAGAAGTTGGGGCAAGAGCGGCGAGCAATGTGAGCGGAGGTTGGAGAAGGGGGAGGGGGGGAAGGGGTCTAGACTAAGGGCTCTGCATCCGCGTACCCGGATTTGATTTGTGCCTGGTAGGAGTAGCCGCAGAGAGTGGACGCGGGGCATGCAGTGCCGCTCACGCCCGTGTTGCCCGTGCACGTCCCTGCTCCGGTGCCCGAGCCTGTTCCCGTGCCTGTTCCCGAGCCTGAGGATGTGCCGTCGCAGGCGAAATCAACGGTCTTGGAGCCTCTGGGGGTACGGAAAAGCGAGAGAGAGAGAGAGAGAGAGAGAGAGAGAGAGAGAGAGAGAGAGAGAGAGAGAGAGAGAGAGAGAGAGAGATAGAGAGAGAGATAGAGAGAGAGATAGAGAGAGAGATAGAGAGAGAGAGAGAGAGATAGAGAGAGAGATAGAGAGAGAGAGAGAGAGATAGAGAGAGAGAGAGAGAGAGAGAGAGATAGAGAAGAGAGAGAGAGAGAGAGAGAGAGAGAGAGAGAGAGAGAGAGAGAGAGAGAGAGAGAGAGAGAGAGAGAGAGAGGAGGGGCGTGAGGACAGCCGTGGTAGTGGACTGGCGAGTCGGTCAGACGGATGAAATACATTGCGAGCAGAGTATGCAGGAATGGAGAGCAACGGGGTTCAATCTCAGACTCGGGGGGGGGAAGGTGACTATGGGACCTGGGGGGGCAGGAGAGGGTGGAAGGGGGGAGAAGAGGGGGAGGGGGGGGCGGGGGGAATGGGCTGACCTGTGGCTGCCGCCGTGGTTGGCCACTGTCTTGGAGCCGCCAGACGAGTACGCCCACACGAGCTTGTTGCTCCCCGCCACGTTTACCGACACGAGCCCGTTCCCCGTAGCGCGCGTGAACTTCGCGATCGTGCTCCCGCCCGACGTTGTAACACTCGCGGCGGTTATAGCGAACCGCGACGTGGTAACCACGCTCGAGTAGCTCGATATCGCGTACGTGCCGACGCCGCTCGCCGTCGCGATGTTCCCGATGGCGGCGTCCGAGTTAAACATGCCCCCGTTGGTCCACGCCACGGAGAACCACCCGCTCGCCGCGCCGCTCGTTGACTTGGCCTCGAGCGCGAGGTCGATCGTTGACCCCGTTGACTTCTTCCAGTGGAGGACCAGCCTGGGGGAAGGGGAAGCGCGGAAGAGGCGTAGATAAGACACGGTGAGGATAAGCAGCGAAAGCACTAGCGGCGGGCAAATGCACATGGCGGGAGATAGGCCGGAGAATGCGCAACGGCACGGCACGGCGGGGTGATCTCAGGCGGAATGAAAACTCTGCGACATTTGCGCTACCCTAATCCCTCTCATCGCTCTCGCCACTAAACCCTAGACATCGGGATGCGCTCACCCGTTGCCCGATAGGTCCACGGAGCTCGTGTATCCCGCGAGCGTCGACGCTTGGCAGGTCGCGGCAGGCGTCACCAGCGCCTTCGCTCCGGCTGTAGCGGCGGCGCCGGCTGTAGCACCAGCGGCGGCGCCAGTGGGAGGCGACTTGCGCGAGTGTTTCAGGCGCCACGCGTTGAGACGGTTGAGGAGGCCTTGGGACTTCGTGGGGGAAGGCGACGGCTGAGCGCCGGCGCTGGCGGCGCCCGCCGCGGCGATGAGAAGGAGCGTGACGCAGAGGCGCATGAGCCTCGTGCCGCGCGGCTCGCGTGCGCCGACGGCCATGGCGAGGGGTAGATCGCTGGATTGGTCGGTGGTGGGTGGGGTGGGGTGGAGTGCGGTGAGGCGGGGTGGGATGAGCTGAATGGGAGAATGGAGGTGGAGGGGGCTGTGAGTGACACTGGGGTGCCAACTGCGGAGGCTGGAAGTCTTGTGGATGTTTTGGCACACAGGGAGGAGAGGAAGGGGGGAGGGTGAGCAGGGAGGGAGGGAGGGACTGGATGGAGGCGAGGTGGTTTGTTAGAGCTGACGAGATGCGATAGGAGGAGCGCCCTTTTTGTAACCAACAGCGCAGCAAAACGAAACCACCAGCGCCAGCAGGGAATCGGGGATGCAAAATGTTTCGCCGCTAGTGGCTGGTTGCGCGGCGCGGTAACACGTGTTTTTCCTGGGCTGGGCGTGGTTCCTCGTGTGGAATGCTGGCTAGATTCAAGATCAAGGTTCGGCGAAGTGGTGTGGTTTCGTTTCGTGAGGCGAGGAATCATAAGGGAACTGTGTTGAACCTCTAATTGGCTGGCTGTTTGGTTTGGTAACCGACCAGTGAGGTTTGGTACCGCCGTGCTCGTGGTTCGCTTTCGTCAAACCATTTCAGATTTTCTTGTCTTGTGGCACAGCGGCGTTGACGAAACATGTTACTCTTTTGTCCCTGTCGTTGTCAAATCAAACGGTTTCGTTATGACGTCATTTAATCTCGCAACCAGGAAGGGAGACCGACGAGCATGTGTCTCACTGCAATTTCCACGCTGCTCCAGCGCTGCGCTGGCACTCAAGCTGGTTTGTGGATATTCGGCTCGGCGGTTGTCCTTTTCCACCGAAACCGTTTTTCCATGGAAATCCAGAAGAGCGTGCCAAACGAGCTTGTCCACAAAGCTTGAGAAAAAAAACCTCCGTAGAAGCGTCCCACATCAAAAACAAGCTAACTCATACAGATCTTGCCAACACACTGACGTAAGATTGACATGCTGATACATCATGAGTGATATTTCTAACGTTAAAGCCCCAGACTGTAATAGCAAAGGTGGGCCCAACTTGTACATTTACCTTCTAAAATCCGTCTTAGTGTAGGATGATTGGCTGGAATCACAGTTGTGAATTTCGGATGGAAAGGAGTTTGAAATGAACTAGATTATGATTGGAGGAGGCAACAATCAGCCTGGCGAAATGTACAGTTTGACCCTTCTTACGTGCTCGCGACTTGAGCGATTCGCGTATCAGAAGGAATCGCATGTACGAATTTTCCCCCTGGAACCCAGCTCCATTTTCAAGTTGGGACCAGGTTTGCTTCTCGAGTGTCACGGGGGGATCGGAAATCGTGCGACACCTCGTTCTGTAGACAAGCCAGATCATCGCCACACGAGCAAGTGAACAGTAGTTCCAACCCAATTGGATAAGTTCAATGCACAAACTGCTTCCGATCCGAATCTATTTCAAACAGCCTGCTGCCCCCCCACCCCAAAAAAACCCAACTCTCGTTCAAACCAAGCCATTTCTCTTGTTCAAGCTGGGCCCGACTTGAGTGGGGTTTCCATTTTCAGCCTTGGGCCTTATCGCCTTCCTAGAACAATTAGTACTACTTCTTGAGGTTGACTTAGGTGCCCTTTGAAGGTTGTTGCCTCACATATTCGTCGGCTGGCATAGGCTCGCATGTTCCTACCACCCTTTCTCAAGCTTGAGCGTTGCACCGCAATGCAATTTTGACACAAAATCGGTTCAGTGCGGTTCTATGAGGTGCGACATGAAATTTGGCTCAGCATTGCCGAGATTCAGGCGAGGGGAGAGTCTCGGAAGAGGTCATAGGATCACACTCACCACCAATTCAACGATGCATGAATTCATACACCCACAACTTCGCGCCTTAGCATGGTATGTTACCTTACCACGGAAACGAATATGCAAGATGGATCTGTCAACTTATACATATTAGCTATGTAGAAGTTATAGGCTAGACTGAGATATGCTTCTAGTGAGTACAACCAACTAGTATTTGTTCTAGGGTTTCACCTTCTAGTCATTCATTCAGTTCTTACTTTAACATGGTATCACGCGTAAATTAGAATCCCCCACCTACCGCTTCCGCCAGTACCCTAGCTAGGCCCCATCGCGCCTCCTAGCCCTGTCGCACCCCTCCTAGGCCCCGTCGTGCCTCCTAGCCCCGTCGCGCCCGCTAGGCCCCATCGTGCCCCTCCTGGGTCCCGTCGCGCCTCCTAGCCCCCCCCCTGGGCCCCGTCGCGCCTCCTAGCCCCGTAGCGCCCCTCCAGGGCCCCGTCGCGCCTCCTAGCCCCGCCGCGCCCCTCCTGGGCCCCGTCGTGCCTCCTAGCCCCGTCGCGCACCTCCTGGGCCTTGTCGTGCCTCCTAGGCCCCGTCGCGCCCGCTACGGCCCCGTCGCACCCTGCCGCGCCCCGTCGCGCCCGCTAAGCCCCGTCGCGTTCCTCCGCGGCCCCGTCGTGCCTCCTAGCCCCGTCGCGCCCCTCCTGGACCCCGTCGCGCCTCCTAGCCCCGTCGCGCCCGCTAGGCCCCGTCGCGCCCCTCCTAGGCTCCTTCACGACCCCCAGCCCCGTCGCGCCCCTCCTGGGCCCCGTCGTACCTCCTAGCCTCGTCGCGCCCCTCTTGGGCCCCGTCGCACCTCCTAGCCCCGTCGCGCCCCTCCTGGGCCCCGTCGTGCCTCCTAGCCCCGTCGCGCCCCTCCTGGGCCCCGTCGCGCCTCCTAGCGCCCCTCCTGGGCCCCGTCGCGCCTCCTAGCCTGGTCGCGCCCCTCCTGGGCCCCGTCGCGCCTCCTAGCCCCGTCGCGCCCGCTAGGCCTCGTCGCGCCCTGCCGCGCCCCGTTGCGCCCACTAGGCCCCGTCGCGTTCCTCCTGGGCCCCGTCGTGCCTCCTAGCCCCGTCGCGCCCCTCCTGGGCCCCGTCGCGCCTCCTAGCCCCGTCACGCCCGCTAGGCCCCGTCGCGCCCCTCCTGGGCCCCTTCGCGACCCCCAGCCCTGTCGCGCCCCTCCTGGGCCCCGTCGTGCCTCCTAGCCCCGTCGCGCCCCTCCTGGGCCCCGTCGTGCCTCCTAGCCCCGTCGCGCCTCCTAGCGCCCCTCCTGGGCCCCGTCGCGCCTCCTAGCCCCGTCGCGCCCCTCCTGGGCCCCGTCGTGCCTCCTAGCCCCGTCGCGCCCCTCCTGGAACCCGTCGCGCCTCCTAGCGCCCCTCCTGGGCCCCGTCGCGCCTCCTAGCCCCGTCGCGCCCCTCCTGGGCCCCGTCGCGCCTCCAAGCCCCGTCGCGCCCGCTAGGCCCCGTCGCGCCCCTCCTGGGCCCCTTCGCGACCCCCAGCCCCGTCGCGCCCCTCCTGGGCCCCGTCGTGCCTCCTAGCCCCGTCGCGCCCCTCCTGGGCCCCGTCGCACCTCCTAGCCCCGTCGCGCCCCTCCTGGGCCCCGTCGTGCCTCCTAGCCCCGTCGCGCCCCTCCTGGGCCCCGTTGCACCTCCTAGCGCCCCTCCTGGGCCCCGTCGCGCCTCCTAGCCCCATCGCGCCCCTCCTGGGCCCCGTCGTGCCTCCTAGCCCCGTCGCGCCCCTCCTGGGCCCCGTCGCGCCTCCTAGCCCCCCCCTGGGCCCCGTCGCGGCTCCTAGCACCCCTCCTGGGCCCCATATCGCCTCCTAGCCCTGTCGTGCCCCTCCAGGGCCCCGTCGCGCCTCCTAGCCCCGCCGCGCCCCTCCTGGGCCCCGTCGTGCCTCCTAGCCCCATCGCGCCCCTCCTGGGCCCCGTTGTGCCTCCTAGGCCCCGTCGCGCCCGCTACGGCCCCATCGCGCCCTGCCGCGCCCCGTCGCGCCCGCTAGGCCCCGTCGCGTTCCTCCTGGGCCCCGTCGTGCCTCCTAGCCCCGTCGCGCCCCTCCAGGGCCCCGTCGCGCCTCCTAGCCCCGTCGCGCCCGCTAGGCCCCGTCGCGCCCCTCCTGGGCCCCTTCGCGACCCCCAGCCCTGTCGCGCCCCTCCTGGGCCCCGTCGTGCCTCCTAGCCCCGTCGCGCCCCTCCTGGGCCCCGTCGCACCTCCTAGCCCCGTCGCGCCCCTCCTGGGCCCCGTCGTGCCTCCTAGCCCCGTCGCGCCCCTCCTGGGCCCCGTCGCGGGTCCTAGCCCCCCCCCTGGGCCCCGTCGCGCCTCCTAGCGCCCCTCTTGGGCCCTGTCGCGCCTCCTAGCCCCGTCGCGCCCCTCCAGGGCCCCGTCGCGCCTCCTAGCCCCGTCGCGCCCCTCCTGGGCCCCGTCGTGCTTCCTAGACCCGTCGCGCCCCTCCTGGGCCCCGTCGCGCCTCCTAGCGCCCCGTCGCGCCTCCTAGCCCCGTCGCGCACCTCCTGGGCCCCGTCGCGCCTCCTAGCCCCCCCCCTGGGCCCCGTCGCGCCTCCTAGCGCCCCTCCTGGGCCCCGTCGCGCCTCCGAGCCCCGTCGCGCCCCTCCTGGGCCCCGTCGCGCCTCCTAGCCCCCCCCCTGGGCCCCGTCGCGCCTCCTAGCGCCCCTCCTGGGCCCCGTCGCGCCTCCGAGCCCCGTCGCGCCCCTCCTGGGCCCCGTCGTGCCTCCTAGCCCCGTCGCGCCCCTCCTGGGCCCCGTTGCGCCTCCTAGCCCCCCTTCTGGGCCCCGTAGCGCCTCCTAGCGCCCCTCCTGGGCCGCGTCGTGCCTCCTAGCCTCCTAGCGCCCCTCCAGGGCCCCGTCGCGCCTCCTAGCCCCGCCGCGCCCCTCCTGGGTCCCGTCGTGCCTCCTAGCCCTGTCGTGCCCCTCCTGGGACCCGTCGTGCCTCTTAGGCCCCGTCGCGCCCGCTACGGCTCCGTCGCGCCCTGCCGCGCCCCGTCGCGCCCGGTAGGCCCTGTCGCGTTCCTCCTGGGCCCCGTCGTGCCTCCTAGCCCCGTCGCGCCCCTCCTGGGCCCCGTCGCGCCTCCTAGCCCCGTCGCGCCAGCTAGGCCCCGTCGCGCCCCTCCTGGGCCCCTTCGCGACTCCCAGCCCTGTCGCGCCCCTCCTGGGCCCCGTCGTGCCTCCTAGCCCCGTCGCGCCCCTCCTGGGCCCCGTCACACCTCCTAGCCCCGTCGCGCCCCTCCTGGGCCCCGTCGTGCCTCCTAGCCCCGTCGCGCCCCTCCTGGGCCCCGTCGCGCCTCCTAGCCCCCCCCTGGGCCCCGTCGCGCCTCCTAGTGCCCCTCCTGGGCCCCATATCGCCTCCTAGCCCCGTCGTGCCCCTCCAGGGCCCCGTCGCGCC